TTTTCCTGGGGGCCCTGAGTGAAGGGGAGAGAAGGGAGTGAGAGAAGATTAAGGCAGACACGGTCCCAAGGGGAAGTTGGGCTGATGGAACAGTTTTCCATTCATCCTCTCACTCCACACGCTTCTTATGAACTCAACTATTCTCTCATGCATTAAAGATTTTGTAATACTACAATTGATTAGACCATACTGAAGGCCTACTAATCACATTTCATCCTCACAGCAAAACCAGTGTCAATGACACTGTTATCCCCATTTACAGATGAGGAAACTGAGCTGAGGAGGTGAAGCAACACACGCAGAATGGATAGAAAGTTACAGTCTTGGGGAGATGTTTCTGGCAACCTGTGCCTATCAGAGAAGTCAGGTGGGCTCGGTGGTCAGGATGGCTGGGGCAGGAGGCTGGCATGGGCTCCGGGAGGCGATCAGAAAGGAGCAGGTTTGGGGAAATGCCAAGGAGCTGAGTGTGGACTCGTTCAATGGACATGCCCAGCCCTCCCTCCACTGCGTGAGAAGACACCCACATCACTCACCCAGGTGGCCGTGCCCATGACAGGGTCTTCATCACCCGTGACCTTTGGTCTGCCGGCTGCTTGCTTCCTGAGGGCTTTCACTCTGAGGGAAGAAGTCAGCAGCCAGAAGGGCTCAGGCACAGGTGGGCAGGAGGGCCCACTGCATGACAGACAACCAGGCATCCAGACCCTGGAACCAGACTCAGGGACCCTCCTGACATGCAGGTGAGGACTCTGTCCCCCTGGATGACCAGGTGTTTGGGCAAGACTGAATTTTCATCACCAAAGGCTCCTCTCACACTCAGAAACTTGTATTCAAGTGATCGCAACCATGTTATTTGTGATAGCCAAAAAGCAGAAGCAACCCAAATGTCCATCAATGAACAGACCAATAAAAATGTGCCCCCAGCAAACCTTGGAATACTATTTGGAAATAAAAAGGAATAAAGTTCTGACACAGGAACCTTGAAAATATCAGGCAATATGAAAAAAGTCACAAAAAGAAATGTGTATTATATAATTCCATTTATGTGAAATGTCAGAATGGGCACATGTCGCGAAACAGGAAATAGTGGTTGCCGAAGGGCTGGGGGACAATGGAGGCCGGCCGCCGACGAAGGGATGTGCCGTGTCTTACTTTCTTTCCTTGTCTTTTCATTTCAGGGTCATGAAAAAGTTTTAAAATTGATTGTGGTGATGCGTGCACAGCTCTGCGACTGAAGTAAAAGCTATTGAATTGTGCACTTTAAATATATGGGAATTTTACCTCAATAAAGCTGCTACCACTCCCCCGCCCAAATATGTCCCCTCTGGATGTCCTAAGCTCCATTTCTGTGAGATTCAGTGACCTCCCTCCACACTCCCTAGGACACAGCTCCTTGTTGTCCTGTGACAGAGGCTTACATGCAAAAGGAGATGAGACACACACACAGGGCCAGCAGGGCCGTGGCACCAGCACCTCCGAGAGCCGCAGGAACCGCTCCCACCTGGGACACCGACTTCCCTGCAGAGAGGAGGGGCGTGAGACCACCACTCGCAGGGCTCAGTCTCCCCTCTTCCCACCTCCTTGCAGAACCCCCGGTAGGTTCTGTTTGGGCAGCAGATGGAGGGCCCTGTCCCAGCAATCACCCCCGTCCAGGCCGCAGCCCCTCTCCCCCAGCTCCACCTGCTCTCTGACCCATTCCTGTCTCCCTGAGCCTCTGCCCCGAGAGGCCCCCTGACCTGGCAGCAGCAGGACAGCGGCGCTCTGGGTCCCGTGGACATTCCTGGCCTCGCAGCTGAGCCTGAGGCCGGTGCTGAGCCCCCCGCTGAGGCTCAGGGAGCTGTTGGCCCAGGGCCCTGCCGAGCGGGAGGTGACCGTGTAGGAGGCCTCGCTGCGGTTCCCCTCCAGCAGCTGCTCCCCCAGCTGCCAGCGCAGGGAGGGGGCCGGCTGGGCTCGGGAGGAGCAGCTGCAGGTCAGACCCTGGTCGTCCCAGGAGCAGGAGGGTCCCAGCAGCTGTGAGGGGTCTGTGGGGAGAGAGGAGAAGGGTCAGCGGCTCCTCCTCCCTTCTAGGACCCAGGCGCCCACTCCCTGGGTGCTTCCCAATCCTCCTGACTCACAGAGCACAGAGAGCCTGAGAGAGACATTTTGGGAGCCCAGCCTGTTCTGAGCTTGGCAGGTGAACTCTCCTTCTTCTGCAGTCCCCACTCGAGGCAGCTCCAGGATCTCAGTGCTGGAGATGGGGGTGGCGTTCAGGGCTGGGGACCCCTGGAACCAGCTCAGCTGTGCAGGGGGGTTGCTGTCAGCCACACAGCGCAGATGCAAAGCCTCGCCCTCCAGGATGGAAAGGGATGTGGTTTGCAGAATCTCAAAGGCTTAGGGGAGAGACGTGGAGAGAGGGAGGGAGACAGAGAGACAGAGACGGAGAGAGACAGAGAGAGAGGAAACTCAGGTGGAGGCAGCCACCCACAAGAGCTGAGGCACTAGGCTGATGATTCCCATCCTTGCCCTTCCCATGTCTGATCCCATTCAAACTAGGATCCCCCCTCTGCTCCACCACAGCCCAGGGGCAGGTCCCAGCTCCCAAGAAGTGAGGTTCTTTCCTACCTGTGACATTTCTGAAGGAGCGTCCCATGGTGAGGTTCCGAGGGGCATCTGGGACAGAAAGATATGGCCCCGGTTCAGAGGCGAGAGAAGGAAGGATATCACCCCCGAACCCAGGGAGGGACTGTGGGATCTGGGAAGGTGGGATGCTGTCCTTCTGGCCCCTTCCAGCCTACACTCCCATCCATGCAAACGTGTCCTCAAGTTAGCTCAGCCTCCTACACACACACACACACACACACACACACACACACACACAC